TCCAACTCTCTGAACATCCGCCCCTGCCTTTGGGCTGAGCCTTTTCGCTGCGCTTTGCTGGCCAGCCTCACAGTCTCCCTTGGCCCAGTTTCTGGTTGTGTAGCCTCCAGGCTTTTTCGCCGCCTTGGCTGGCTCAAGTGAGTGCTGCAGTTCACCTCGGACTTTCTGGGCATTCGGCCCTGCCTTTGGACTGAGCCTTTAAGCTCGCTTTGCTGGCCGGCCTCAGTCCTCCCCCCTCCCCTTTCTCTGCCCCTCCTGCTGCCCTCTTCTGGCGCAGACTAGCCTTCTCGCCTCCAAACCCCCTATCTGGGCCACTTCTGCGTTTTTTGTAGTGAGGCTTGCCCGCTCTATGCCTTTACCGAGGTTAGTGTGCCAGCGGGAGTCTTTTGCGTGGCTCTCTGCAGACCAAGGTTGTGTCAAGACCACCCTCTCGCCCAGTGCCTTCGAACATCAGGGTTCCCTGCACCGGTGTCCGTTATTTCCTGCGCCTTTGGCCGCTGCTGGTGCAAGGCAAACAGGCTCAAGTAGCTGCGTCACGTTGGCCAGTGCTCCCAGCCTGGCGTTGGCTCGTTCCCCTTCAAGGCTGGGGCAATCTCTCCACCGACGTGCCGGAAGCACCCTCACGCGCACCGCCAGCCAACACTTCTTGGCGCCTTTTGTGGTTACTGAGAAAATCGACCAGCCTTCCCTTGACCCCGCACTGTGCTCCCGGTGCATCTTCGCCAGTCGCTGGATGCGCTGGTTCCTGCCCTCAGTCGCCTCTCCTCTTGTTTTATCGGCGATAGTTGGTCGGATTGGTGACAGCATGCTCTGCCGCCGACCAACGCGTTCGGCTGCCACTCCGTAACACATCCTCCTCCCTCGCAGCCTGGCTCCAGTCCGATGAGAGTGTCCACGTATCACAGGCTTCCGCCTCATCGCCCAACCCTTCTTCCTGCCCAGACCCCTCCCCAAACCCCCCACTTGGACCAATTCCGGTTTTTTTTCCTTGTTTCTTTTTTCTAGTACCCATAGTACCCCCTCTGGAACCTCTGGCGGAGGGGGTCGATGACGCTTGCGGAGACCCCCTGAGATGCTCAGCGGGGAAGAGTGCGGGAGGCCGTGGCCGTATGCCACTGGTCGATTCCTTCCTTCCTTCCTTCCTTGTCTCTCTGTCTCTTTGTCTCTCTCTCTCTCTCTCTCTCTCTCTCTCTCTCTCTCTCTCTCTCTCTCTCTCTCTCTCTCTCTCTCTCTCTCTCTCTCTCTCTCTCTCTCTCTCTCTCTCTCTTTCTCTCTCTCTCTTCTTTTCTCCCTGTCTCCCTCTCTCCTGCCCAGGCAACCGGAGGACAAGCTCGCAAAGCCTTCTTGCCAACGCGCCGAGTTCGAGGCAAGCGCTCCGACAAGGCATGTTCTTCGACACGCGACTTCCTGCCAGAGTCCTGCTCGAGACCCCGTAAAACGAGCAAGCTCAATCAGTGTGTCCTACAAGTCTGCCCTACGTAGCCCGTTAGCGGGACTTGCATCTTCTCTTTGCTCCTCTGCAGGGCCACATACTCCACCCGAACCGAGACGTCTCCCAGCAATCTCTCGCCGACGTGCTCGGTTTCTGCGGCCACTTCCTCAGCAATCGCCTCGCAATCTCCGACTACACCGACGACGGCAAGTGGCTCATCTCCTCCGAACAGCTGCATCGCTGCAAAGCAGACAACGTCCCATGCCCTGCTGGTTGTCCTTCCATAGTCGCCACGACCGCCCCAACCGAGGCTGCAAGACATCTGCCGCATCTTCCCTGCGCCCAGGCTCCTGGAGCCGCATTACCGACTCACGCTTCAGGCGGAGCTGACGTGCGCCATGACGACCCTTGCACCGCCAGGCACTGCGACGGTTGAGCGACTTCCAGTCCCACAGTCGCTGGCCTCTCGCCCTTGACAAAAACATGCAGGCATGTCGCTCGTTCTTGTGATTATCTGCCTGGCAGTCAGCTGAGGAACGGGAGCAACTCCCGCCTGTTTGGCACGTGGGTTGGGTCCGAGCCTGCCAACCTGCTGACCGACGTCTTGGAGCTGCTCCAGAACGTCCCGTGCGTGTGCTCCAGGAGAGCCACGCTGCTGGAAACTCTCTCAGGAGCCCTCACCCTGCTCGCCTTCTGCTGTTGCGCCACCCCGCAGCCCCTGCCAGGACCTGCAGGCGGAGATCTCATCGCCATCAACGCCTGCAAGTGCGTGCAAGTTCTGCAGAGCCTCGGCTGCCAGTGACACACCACCGTTTGTGAGCCTTTTCCGCTGCGACTCAGGAACTTCTGCTTGCTCAAACGCAGCGCCTCGTCGGCACTGAAACTGCAGGACTGTCCTGCTGTTTTGCTTGCGATAGGCGGCTGGCGACTCGACGATGTGCCAGCAGTGCGACACTGCGTCAAAGACATCTGCCTCTAGGCCCGCGGCTCAACCCGCAGCAACAACGACAGTCCGACAAACCTGACCTCACATAGCTTGAAACCGAACACTACCCTGTAACCTGTGCTCAGGCACCGCATCGATGTCTGCGGTGCTGCTCGCCGCTGGCACAGTTCAAGGCGGCCCGTGCTCGATTGAATCGTAGAGCAACCTTCGTGATCCTTAAAAATTCACAAACCCATTCCTTCAAGTTGCAGTGCCTCCTGCTTGTTCGGTTCGTAGCCGTTCAGGTTAGACATACAGCTCTAGCCTCAGGGTACTCACATGCTGCAAGATATGCCTGCCTGTTGCATCTCCCTTGATCCCGGGGTCAGCTCGATGGCACAGTTTACACTTAGAAGCAACCAATGACCGATCGAGACCTGCATGCGTGCACGACTTCCGAGACCCAGTGAGAAACCCCGAAACCAGCCACTCGAATTCAAATGCCTCCTACCTGCTAGGTTGTACTTACAGCTCTGACCTCAACAGACTGCCCCGAGATGTCTCCAAGGTATGCCTGCCTGCTGCACCTTCCTTTGTCCGCGGGGCCGCCATAGCGCTGTCGAACCTGGCCAGCTTCGCCGTTCGCCTCTTTGGTTGGCCTCCTTTGGTTAAAAGCCTTGCTCAGCAGACATCGGGAATTTGTGTGTGAGAGTGACTGCTGGAAGTTTCGGTTTCAGGGTTTACATCGTCTCTCCTTAACCCTCAAACCCAAGCTTGGCCCTGCAATTTGAGACATGTCTACACCTAAGACTGCTGCCACTGTAGGCCTAACAGCTCGGGTTTCTGCATCCGAACCCTAGGCCCTCAATCTTGACCCCGTGCCTAGCTAAACCGCCTCTCCCCTGCAGCCGACCAGGTTGTCAGCTGTCGCTTCGCAGCCTCTGCGATCTGTTTCTAGTCTTTTCCTTGAGCCATACTGGCTGCTGCGCGTGACATATAGAGCGTTGCTCCCACCGCCGACACACTGACAATGCTGAGGCCGCGCCGACCAAAAAAGCCGTGACCCCAAAGCTCGAGAAGATTTGAAACACCCTTGAAAGTCTCCCCCCAACACTCGCACGCCCGAACCCTCTCGTCCGTAAAGCTTCCACGACTGAACAGCGCGGTCTTCACACCTGTGCCCTAGCTTTCGCTCGCCCTGTTTTCAAGTGGAGAAAAGTAGGGAGTGAGGGACAGTACGGGGTGTGGGGGCTGGGGGGGAGGGGTGGGTGTGAGTGTGGGAGCGTTGAGGGGGTTGGGTCAAAGTGACAGGTCGGGGGCGGAGGGCGGTCGGGTGGAGAGTTGGGGGTGGGAGAGAGAAGATAAGTGGAGCAGGGGACAAGATACGAGGGGACTGGAGCGTGGTGTCATGAGGGGGTAGGCGGGGGGGTGGGACGCAGCAGTAATGGGTGGAAATGTGGACACCAATTCACCGTCGTTGCAGGCGAAGTCGTGGTGAAATGTGTAGGGAGAGTGGGGGGAGCGTCAGGGCGGGCGTGCGTTGGACCACCCGAAACACAAGAGATTGGTCAAGGCCGGAGTAGGAGCTACAGTGGTAAGTGGACAAATGGAGGAGCAGGGGTCAGGGCTACAGAAACAGGGATTGGGGATGGAGGGTTTCGGGAATGGAGGGGAGGGGTAGAGGGTGAGGGTGATGAGAGGACTACCGGAAATGGTAGTGGGGTGGGGGTGAGAGGAGAGTTGGGCGCTCTCTGCTCTCCCTCTTCTCGACCCAACCCCCAACAAGTTCCAGCACACGCCCCCACCCCCCACCCACACCCCCCCCCAACACCCCCCTGCCCTATGCCGGACGCACCCCTCCTGCTGGACCCAACCCCCAACAACCCCTTGTCGAAGCAATGTTTTTCGGGGTTCCCCCCCACACCCAGGCGTTCCAACACACGAGCCTTCCACACCCCCCTAATCCATGCCTTGGCACCTGGTACGGCAGGGCCATGATGGGGGCCATGGGGGCCATGGGCCACGGGGGCATGTGGTGCGGAGCGGGCATGCACTGGAGCCCTGAAAACTCAGAGCACTGGGGGCTACCGGCGAGGGTTTGGGCGTGCTGAGGCCATGGGTGCCAGGGGTCGAGCGGCGGGGGTCTGGGCATGCGCGGGAACGTACTCAGGGAATGGAGAGCACTATGGGTCTTCACTGACGCCGCCCCCGCTCCAGCTGGGGTCGGCGGATACAGTGCAGACATGCATATACACATATATGTATATGCATATACATATATATATATATATATTATATGTGTATGTGTGTATAAATATAAATAAATAAATAAATATAAAAAAAAAATAAATAAATAAATATATATATATGTACATATTAGCAGAAAAGTGCGCTCCCACGGCCCCTGTTTTGTTTCCCCGCGATGGTGCTCAAGGGCTTCAACGAGGGAGGCCCATGAGGCCCTTAGAACAGCAACTCCGGACCTGAAACTTAGAAGCGTCTTCGCTCGCTATGCGCTGCAACTTAGCCGCTTGGGAACTTGCAGCACCGTGGCGTTGCTGTGTTCGCTAGAAGCATTGTAGGCGGCACAGTCGAGAGTCTTGTGTGGAAGGGTGGCGTCTACGTGTTGCGTTGGTTGGGGCAATGGCTTCCACTTCTACAATCTCGCAGGCCTGCGCTGTGTCGCTGCTGCTCCGGGGCTCCTGGCAGTGGCAAAGCCTGCAGGGCTTCTGAGACTTTCAATGAAGGGGGCTTGCAGGGACCTTCCCTGATCCTGATTGAGTTCATTCAGGTCGACGTATATAATCTTCTGCCGATTCGAGTTCGGGGGTGCATAAGGGCAAGAACGGGCACGCGCGGCTACAGACATCGTCCTCCCTGCTAGCAGTGTCAGTGTTGAAACGCCTTTCTGAGCTTGATCATTGGGAAGCAGTGCCCCATGGCGAGTACGGAATCCAGTGTTGGCACGTTCCAAATTAGTTGCTGGATGTTTGAAGACTCTAGTTAACCAAGTTAAGGATCACCTCAGAGGCTGCGGCTCGGATGTAGAGGAAGGGGGATTGCAGCGACACGGTGGCAGCGCTGGGCTGCAAGAAGAGCCTTTATTTGATGTGTCTAAGCTTCGTGTTGCCTCAGAGCTTTATCGATGGACTCTTCACTTACCACCCTAAGACACCTACACGTCAGCTTGTCTAGAGAAACCGTCCATTCTGATTCGACGCGAAGATTAAGGTGATGCAGTTGGTGTCAAGGCTTGGGCGGGCACGAGCAAGTTACTGGACAGTTGCTGGAGCCTCAACCCTACAGACTACAGACCCTCCACTGAAATACACCCCAAAGCAAAACGACCCACACTGCCCCACGGAAGGTGGCGGGCGAAGCAAGGCCTCAGCACCCAGATCATGAGGCTCTCCCGCCTGGATGCGCAGACCTCTGGCGTGCTCCCCGTGGCCTTGGCCCCGTGCGGCTCAGGTGCCGCAGGAAAGTTGTAACATTGTAGCAAACGGCTTCATGCACGGTTAAGGGGGCTTCGCAGGACGGTTAGACGCTTAGCAGAGGAGGCCCCAAGACTCTCATGGCAATGCGAAACCCAAACCAGGGCACTTGAGTTTCAGAAGCTCAGGATTCCAGATTCGAGTTAGCAGATGCCTAGGAACACCGTAGAGGAGCTTGCGCCGTAGCAACTAAATCAAGAGAACCTCGCACAACTGCATTTTTCTTGCACCTGCTCCAATGCTAGCACCGGCAGTTCGAGGCGTGACCAGTTGGTACCAGCTGCAGTTTGCTGCGCGAAAGGTGCAGCTGGGAAGGGATGGAAAGGGGCAAGGAACGTTAGGCTCAGAGTTCGATCACAATGCCGCTTAAGTAGCAGATTTTGTCATGGATTGAAGCGGGTAGGCTCGCTGCCCACGGCTCAACCGCAAGCGATCTCAAGAGGCAGAAAACCAGATGCGTACAGATGGAAACCCTGCAAGCCGAGCGAAGTCCCGAAGGTTAGGAAGAAGTACCTCCTCCTGTGCTCGGGGAAGCCTCTGCCAGATGGCGTGCAAGGCACCATTGCGGCTCAGAGTGGCAAAGAGATGGATCCTTGTTTTTGGATGTGCGATTTGGTAGGTGCGGTATGCGGCAGAAAGAGTTATTGGCAGTGATGGCGCCATACAACTCTACGAGATTGCAGGTGTCAGGGCACGTAGGTGTTTGCAGTGTTTTGTTCATGGCGCACTGCGTAGCCCGCGATGTCCGGAGAGTCTTAGGGATCAGCTCGCATGGCGCGCGAAGTGGCGTCCTTGCAAAGGTTGCCATGGCGCAGTGCACAGCGCAAGCATTCACAAGTTTAGTGGAACTTTCCCGCCCGCCCCGATGTAAAAGTTGGTGGGTGCCGGAGCTTCCCGCATGGAGGAAAGCATGCGAAATGCGTAATCTGCCTTGAAGAGCGCATGATAGGTTCAGGGCTTCATCAGAATCCATGGCAAAGCCTGGGTCCGGACTGGCAACAAAAGGGTGTCGGAGCTTCCCAGGTTCAGTCTGTGCTCATGCGACGTACCATTGGTGCTGCACAACGCCGGTCTGTATCAAGTGGTGGAAAGTTTGCCGCAGTTCCCCATAAACTTGAAGGGATGACGATGGGCAGAGGGTGGTCCATGAGGTTGCGCCCCTGGTCAGCGGCCCTTCCACTGAACAATCTGTGGCTTGGGATTTTATTTGGGAGCGCTGCTTTTGTTCTTTGTGGGCGCCTGTCCACTCCTCCTGATGCAGTTTGCGCCCTGCATCTCAAAAGAGACTGGAGCCGGGAATCTTAGGCCATGAAGTCTGTCTGGTCATCAGCAGGGAAGGAGGCCAGCCATCGTGCCATTGAGATTCCGTGAGATTCCAACATACAATGCACTGGCCTGAATGCCTTGCGGAGGCACGCACCGTTTACAAGGTGCTTCGCACCTTCACGCTGCCTCTGCAGACCTTGATGCTGGTGCAAGCAGAGCCGCCGCCCTGCCAAAACGACTTGCGTTTGGGCCCACAACAGTCCCGCAACAGTTTCATCCCTAGGTGCTTGAAGGTGCTTGAAGCATCCTGAAGCCTAGGCAGACCGGGCGGACCCACCAAATCCGCGCGCACTTTGCGGGCATCGGGCGCCCGATCCTATGCGACCGCACCTATGGAGGCTTCCAGCTGCAGTTTATGAGAAACATGGAGGGAATCCGCATTTTGGCCCTTCAAGCCTTCAAGCCCCCTTACAGCCTACCTTGATCGTTGCCAATAAGAGCTTCACTTGTTTTCATCTAACCTGCATGTTCATGAGCTTCACGCACATTAAAGTTCAGTCAGTAGCAGCAAACTTCGTTATTGTCAAATGATGCTAGAATGCATGTAAGGTGGCATGAAAGGTTCGGCTTTAGGAATTGGCGGACGCAGTGATGGAGGAGATTCTGCGGCTTCTGATAAACTTTGGCCAAGCATTATGTATGTTTTGGATTTGCTGTTCATTCTCTATCATAAAGTCATTTTGCTACGTTTAGTTTTGTCTGAACTGAAACACGCTTTGCTCTTCCACCATTCCCTTGCGATGAGAAGTCGCGAGAGCCAGCTCGTCAGAGCGCGTGAGAGTTGCCGTTTACCAATCAAGCTCTCAAGTCTTCAGGTGGATCAAAAAACGACCGCGGTCTCTAAGGTGTCCGAAAACCATGAGTAGTGGCCACGGGGCGGGGGTGCGCAGCAACACTCGGGGGCCTATTCAAGATGTGTCAGCTGCAACGTTGTAACCCTCAGCGAAAGATCTCGCAATGCCTTGCAAAACGAACCCGCCCTCACCTTGTGCAACGGGGCTCGGACATGTGGATCGCCTTGTGTCTTCTAGTTCTCTTAGAAGCTTATTTGTTGAAAGCTTTTTTGAGGGCAGAGGGGTTGGTGGTTTTTTTGTTTGTCAAAGGTTGTTTCTGCCGAGTGGTTCGTCCAGCTATGCAGGTGGCAAGGAAGGCAATAGACCCGAAACTTCTAAGCCCCAAATCTCAGCTATGCCTTTCAGCGAGGTCCAGTGGGATCGGGACGTTCAGGTAGCCTCGATGAGTTTAGGATTTCCCCGAATTCTTTTGGGATTTTGATTCGATCCTCAATTCGCACACCCAGAAGACGCTCTGCGGACAACCCGACGCTCAGACGATCAGACACCCAGACACCCAGACTTCAGAATCGGAATCGAGACGCTACTTTGGGAATCCGGCTTAAAGAGGCTTGTTCTTGACTCGACATATCGTACTTGTCCATGCGGACGGCTACGGTGCAGTGGCACGTGGGACCCAAAGGCTCTAACGAGCCAAACCATGCAAGGACACAAAGCTGTCCGGGCATTGCCAGGCTGTCCATGATGCTTCCTTGCTTCGTGAGTTGCAGTTGCTTCGACACCCTGCACCTGTGAAGATGTCATGCTTTCACCGCGTATGATAAGCTGCGCCGAACCTTTTGCAGTTCTTTCCAATGCAAATGGGAATAATTGCGTGCGTGTGTCCATGCGTGGCTTTGCCCAAGAGCCCAGGCCCCTTTAGATGCCATCGGAAGCCTCCATGTGCAGGGACACTCTGTTTTGGCCAAAGACGGTCTTATGCGAATACAAAGCGATCACAGCTAAAGAGCTGCCATTCGCCAAGCTTCTGCACTGAGGCTTCGATCCATCCTGGTGCCCCCGCCTATTCCTACACTGTCGTCAGGTGCCCTGGCCATCAGTGAATCGTTGTGCGTGAAGCATCGCAGGCTTCTAGGACGGGCATGTGTTGAGAAAGTGCAACATAGGAAAATTCAAGCCCTTTTTTCTCCGTGCAGCCTTGGCCCTCTATAGGCCGCCACCGCCACCCCAGGGCACCCGCAAGGCTGCCCCAAGCCGAGGTCGCTTTGCAGGACGTGGCCGGTCGCCCTTTCGCAGCCGAGGCTCCACTGTCTGCGGAGCTCCAGGAGGCGGGCTTAAAATTTAAGGAGTTTAGGAGGGCATCAGCTGATTGCCAATGGCCCGGAAGAGGATGTTCTTCTGTGCTGTGCATTCGAGGCGCTGGGCCATCTGCAGGACCTGGCTGCAGGCTGACCCGAGACTCTCAGCTGCAGATGGCGCAATCAGGAATGTACTCCTTCAACTCCACCTAGTAACTGACCTAGTATAAACCTGGTGAATCGGAGGTCCTTTTGCGTGCTCGTCTGGCCCCATTAGGACAGCACGTGCTGCTAAACATTGTATGCCGTTTAGGACAGAAAAGATGGCGCGTGGCTTATGATGACGGGGTATGCTGGTGTGAGTATTTCTGAGGTGCGCACGTCTAGTTTGTTGTAGCTGCCTCCCACGTCTACACGCACCTCCGACCTGTACAGCATGCGCTTTATCGACCCACACACTAGCAACTCCGACAACGCTTTGAACCCATCCTAAACCGTCCTTAATGCGAAACAGCAATCGTTCGACCCGGGCCTTGACGACATCAATGAAGAAACCTATGCCTCTGGTGTGGCGCCTGCTGTGCCGCTCTGCTGAGCTCCGGCAACTCCCGCACGCTCCTCCTTTCCCGCAGGCCTGCCCAACCTCCGAAAAGCAGTCGCAAAGAGCGTGCCGAGGTACAAGCGATCATGTGCACCTACTGTCATTGGTGGTGTCCCGTGGGGCCTGATCAGTCTGGAAAAATTCTCCTTCCACTCATGGCCCTGTTTGTCTTCAATTGTTGTTGCCTGCGTTCACGGCCTGAACATCGGGGCGTTTGCTGCAACCGCCTCATCGTGAATTGCCTCGCTTGCATCAGTCTGTCCGCGCAAACCGCTTCCGGCACACGCGGTGCGGATGGCGATTTCTGCACGCGAGCTCCTGCTAGCTCGCCCTCACCGGCCGAAAGCATTGCTGCTAGAAGGGAATGCTGGCAGGCAGCGGCCACATGCATCGGGCGACAGCCTGCGTCAGTTAAGGAAGTGATCACCAAACGCAGGTGTATGAAAGCGGACTATAGGGAATGACGCAGATTTCCCAGCAAGTCTGTGGCATAGTCTCTGCTGAGGCCGTCGGTATGGTCGCTATGTGGAATCCAGACAAGTGGTCAATGTGAACGGAAATGAAGTGGTGTGCAGAGAAGGAACATGTCGCGTGCAAGGGAGAAGCCCTTCCACGAGGCAGCATCTGATGCAGAGTTGTCACACCGGAAATCGACCCAACAGCTGGCAAGAATGAGAAAAGCAGGTCTAGCAGGGCGCATTGAGCCAGATAGAGGCAACAATGAAGTGCTGTGGTGAAGCGTCGGGTGGAAACCTTGGGAAGGTGGGGAGACGAAGCCACCCTGGCCCGAAGCTATCCAGGCCTGCCGAAACGCGTGATCAAGACACTGCCACGGCCAATTCTCAGAGTATGCGGGTCAGAGACTCTTGGATCAGTTTGCGTGAAGCGGACGGAAAGACATGAAGGTCTGCTTTGCGTGACACGTCTTGCTGTGCAATGCGGCTCGGGCGGGGCCAATGGGAGTTGAGGACCTGTGAGCCAACGCAACAAGGTCGCCCGAGGGGACCTCGAGCAATGTGTGCCAGGCAGCGGCAGCGAGAGCCAGCACTCCATGTCAAATGTCAAATTGGCGGGGCACCAACGGAACACGCAGCCTCGCCTCTTCCGGTGTCGGCACGCTGCTGTCCTGCCCGTGCAGTCGTGGCACACGTGTTCACCGCTCCAGTCTGTCTTAGTTACGTCTTTTTCGCTCACCAGAACTGCAGAAACGATGCATGCAAGTTGTCTTGCTTACCAGCTTCCCTGCCCAGAGAGTCGATATCCGGGCCTGCTCCCGCCTTGGGTTTGTGCTTTTGCCGCTTAAACATTGCTAACACAAGCTGTGAGGAAAAAGAGTCAGCTTCACTCTGCTGCTTTCTCTGTCACGCAAGTATCGGGCTAGCTAGTTCGGGGAGGGTTGCGTGGAAAGGTGTCGAAGTAAGCAAGGCGGGCATCGAAAGTCTTGCGGCTACGGCTGAAAAAAACAACACCCGAACTTCCCAAAGCGAATCCCACAGAAACCCAGGAAAGCGCCGTCCAAGCTCTCAGCCGTTCCTCGAAGTGTGGTGCAGAATGAGAACGTGGACGTGGCCAAGGGAAAGGGAAGATGAGGCACCTTTGGCATCTTTGCGGCCCTGATCTTGAAGATCCTTCAACTTTTATTCTGAGGCCCTTGTGGACATGGAGTTGGCGACGCGAAGTGGACCTTGGCCGGCGTCTTCCGGAATAGCGCGCAAGAGTGAGAGGGAGACTCATGGCGAACAGCTACCCGCAGCACATCGTTGCACTGCGCCAACTCGTTCCACCAGAAGATGTGCTGCAAGATGCCAACCGGAGAGACGTGGCATACATCCTCAGCAGAGAGGAGCAAAAGTCCAGCAACATCAGTTCTTGACACACTACGCTGTCGCTGAATAATGCAACAGGTTCTGGAGCTGTAGGTCCGCAGGTTGCAGAGATTGCTGGTATGGCGCGGCCAATCTGCAGCCCTCAAAGCCGGGGCTTTCTTGAGCCGGCATTAACTTCATTCATTCATTCAGCCCCTCCTCGCACCTCTAGCACCTTGATTCCAAGGACCTGTCCTGCCTTGAGCACTCAGGTTGCAACCTCGCACTTCGACAGAGTCAAAAGCTTGCATGTGATGAATTGCACACTCCGCCACAAAGCTTGAACTAGCGAACCGAACCTATCTTGACTTCACGGGTTCAGCCAAAGCGCTATGGCGTACCCAGCTTATGCTGCGTCACCGCAGGCGCGACGAGCCGATCTTCACTCCTCAACTGCTTTAACTTTTGCTAGCCTTGACTTGCAAGCCCAGCTCTATGTTGTGCTGTGTGGAGCAGGTTGCAATTTCCAGTAGCAACAAAGACAGTACTGGTAGTATCCTCTTTCAGGCGTCCGCTTTCCGCACCGCCGTGCCCGGAACCGGCCTGGACGCAGTGAAGAGGAGGGGCGGTCCGAACGGAGCAATGACACAGAAAGTAACTGTGCGTCTACATTCGAAAGCCAGGAAACAGTTGCCATTCTGGGGTGGCTTTTGCTTGCGCATCGCAGCAAAGCGTGCTGCGCACATGTGCGCATGTAGGCATGGAGTCGGTTCGAGGCCACCACAAGTTAGGCAGACACTTTACATGCTCGTGGTACTGCTTGAAGTGGCAGAAGTGGCTGAAGCGGCTGAACCAAGACATGTCCGCCCTGCATTGAATCCAAAGCAAGCTTTAGACTCCTGCGACTGCTGGAGGATCTCGGACACTTATGACAGTGTGGACTTGGGGCTCTATGGAAGCCACCCGGTGGCCAAATGAGAGAGAAATAGAGAGACCTCCCACACCTCGGCATACTTGCGAGAGGTGATTGCTCGTCATACCTTTTTGGGGGACTCGGGACCTTCAAGAAGAACAGCAGCTGAGGTGTCCCTCGCATGCGCTCTCCGGCCCCGCGCGTGAGCTCTCCAGCCCCTCGCGTGTGCTCGCCAGCCCGGACAGCACAGGCAGCCGCAAAGCCATGACTGGCCACGACTAGTGATGTTCCAGTGTTCAGCAATGTTCAGAAGCTGCTGCCCATCAGCTATCGCAAGTGTCTTATGGTGTACTTGGGCCTCGTCTGGGATGTGTGTGTGTGTGTGTGTGTGTGTGTGTGTGTGTGTGTGTGTTTGTTTTTGAGTCATGACATTTCGACAGACCTTTCTCGGTGCCGTCCGAGCCCTCGGCCCTAAAATATGATTGCCGAGTTGATCCAGCACAGCCGCACAAAACTCGCTTCAAATGTGTCTGCCGAAACTGCACACGCGATTCATGAATTTTCCGCACATCATGTCCAGGCAAGGTGTTGTCAGGCAGTGCTTAGCTGTGAGCCGCTGTTAGACACTACTGGCACTCGGCACCGGAATCAAAGCACCAAGTTCATGTGACCGCGAGGTGATTGCACATGTGGCACCCACCCGATGCTGGAGCCCGGTGCGAGCAGTCTCCTGGAGCCAGGACCGCAACCCAACAGCCGATGAACGCAGTTTTAACTGAACGAGTCTCCGTGTTTCTTGTCATTGCTCCCAGTTCATGGTTCAACTGTGCCGCTACGTTGACCAGCAGCAGACCAGCGAAGTTCAACCACTTGGGATCCGCAGCAGCCAAATTCGGAAGCTTTCATCACAGAGCCTAAGCCCACGCCGAAGAATCTTCGAGGACGGCCTGCAGCTTCCTGCGAGCTGGAGGCCGTGGTTTCAGCAAAGTCTTTGAAGTCCCGACGGTCATCCACCTCGCTGTTCTCTTTTCTGTGGCACATGCTTCGTCACGATGCTTGTGCACATTACTTGTTGGAGTCTTGAAGAGTCAACCAACATAGAAGTTCCAGTTTGCCTTCATGTCCCTTGTCGTTGGACTTTGCCCATTTGCCCTTCCCCGATGCGGACACATAGCATTCTTAGTGCCACACGCAGACAACTGCTTCCGGAGGGGATTGACAAGCTCCCACAGGAGTATCGCCCGCAGCTAAGAGGGATGCCCACAGACTTGCAAGAAACTTGCCCTTGCTCCCTGAAGCTTGTTTGCCAGTTCCCAGCTGGGTGTCAGGGATCCTTGCTTTCAGATCGCCTCCGGGCCGTGCAGAATCATTTGCCCACCTGCGTTGAAACTTTGAGTTGCAACAGTAATCAGTAATCACCCCCCTTTTTCCCGGGGCCACCCCAGCCCTAATGAGTCTCCAAAATATTGGAGGTCCTGGGCCCTCTGGAGCACCCAGCCATGGGTTTGGTCACCCGGGACCCTTTGCTCGAAGTGATGCAATAGATTTTAAAAATTTAGGGTTTGGCAATCCCCACCCAGCCCAGATGGAAAAAAGGGTTTAGGGTTTAGGGTTCAGGGTCTAGGGCACTTGCACTGAACATCCCATGGGAAGACACGCAAGTGGACAACAAGGTAGCTCCAAGCGTGTCCCCACCACAGCCAGTGCCGCGCTTGGACTACGCCAGGGCACATTCTTTTTGGCAGCTGCGACTGGCCTTTCAGAGTTTGCAGTGTCAAGAGGGTTTGAAAAGGACGGGACTGTGAGTGGGTTTGTACACGAACAGTCGACAAAGA